AACCTGTATGAGCTTCAAAAATGAAGCAATGAAGCAGTGTTTGCTGCTTCTGCAGCATGTGTTCTGAACGTAGCATCAGACTGATTGTTGGTTCAAGCCCTTTTCTCCAGCTCCGGCTTTCAGTATCGTTGTGTCCTTGGGCAAGACGCTTCACCCACGTGGTGATCAGAGGACCCGGTGGCGCCTGGGTACAGATGCCTCCTAACTTTAAAACTGGTATATAAGTATTAACCATTGAATCATGCTGCTGGTTCCCATCTACACTTCCAACTGTTCTTTGGAACATCATCGCAAGGCAAACTCCCTTATCATATAATTACGATGATGATTACGTCATCATCGTCGGCATAGAGGCAGAAATCATCTGCTCATTAATTACATTCATCCCATATTAGTTCAGACAGTTACTGATAATAACAGATTTAGTTGATTTTCTAAAGTTCTGATAAACTGGTTTCCATCAGATGTTAACCTCATTAGAGCAGAGGAGGCCACATTTTAAAATAAAAGGAGGAAGTAGAGCGGCGCCATGAGGAAGTGGTACTTTGGGCCTCTGACCTGCTCTGGTAACCTGCTTAATGTTGGAGCCTGTGGCCTATGGAGCTAAATCCGTCTCTATTTTCACAAATACACTTATGTGATTCATACATGCACAGGACAAGCTCCACACACACACACACACACACACACGCAGCAAGATTCATGCAGACTTACAAGATCCACACACAGTTTACCAATATTTACACTGATGAACCTGTTCCTGTTTCTCCACCATCCAAATGTTTTCTTCAATTGGTTTATATCCCATCCAGGTGAGGAAGAGCAGATCATCATCATGTTTTACCTCTTGGTGATCATAATGTGGTGACTGGTGTAGACTGATGCATGGCCACAGAGTTAAATGTTGCTCAGGTCTGAGCTCCAGCTTAAGATATAAATAAAAGGACCTCAGCATCTCTGGCTGCCGGTTTGTTTGATGTCTGGTCTGTTTGAAACAGATGTTATTATGATTGAATGTGTCGTGTTTATTAGCATCAGTTAAAAACAGCCACAGTATGAGAATCACGCCTCAAAAACATTTTAATCCTGATTCCATATCGGGTCTTTCCCCATCCAATATGGCGGACACCTTTACGTGTCTTTCTGTAGCCTAGCTGAACTAAACTCAGCCTGCCAGCGTTCTCTGACTTTTAAAAGAACCACGTGTTGTTTTTAACTTTTAACAAATGTCGGTGTGTTTAATAAAGAGTTAATAGAATAACAATGTTGTAAAGACACTTAAATATGTTAAAAAAATTAAAAAATATATCTGTTACGTTTTGATCAGGCAGCCTGGAGGGCTCCTAACACTCGGTGTTGGTTGTTTTAATCAGGCGCTCCAGGGTGTTGCCGAGGGGTCCTCAACGTCACGCTCTTCCGCACGTGTTTTTCAACCATGGCGGACCTTCAGATGAAGCTCCTCCGCAAGAAAATCACGAAAAGAAGCGAAAAGAACAAAGAAAGAAAAGTGAAAAGGAGGCAAACCGATGAGGAGGAGTCCGGTGAGTGACCCGGAACCGGCTTCAGAACCGAACCGGTACCGAAACAATAATCCTGACATGTTTAGATTAGCGGATTATCGGGAGACGGAGACGCGTTAAACTGACTGGATCTGTTGGTTCTGGAACCTTCTGCCCGCTGATGGGCGCAGAACCGGAACCAGAACCTGATGGAGGAGCTGGACTGATGAGGTTCTGAAGAACCTCTGGATGTCTGCAGGTTTACCTCCATGGAAGCTGATCTGATGCTTCATTATTTCTAACCGAAGCTTTTCTCTGTGAGGAACTTTGGATCCATTTAAACTTCAGTTAATTAAAAATTAAAATCGATTATTTTAACACAGGGGCGGATTTAGGAAATGTGGGGCCCTAGACAGAGACAGCAGGGGCCCCTCTGAATGGATGGCATTTAACCAAAGGATTTAATCTAAAACATCATTAATGAGGAAAATAAGGAATAGTTGTTTTAACCATACATGAAAACAGATTAATGGGGCCCCCAGGAACTTGGTATTGCCTAGTATTTATCTAGTAGTAAATATCTAGTATTAAATATCTAGTATTAAGTACTAGGATGCTAGTATTGCCTAATGGGAATCTCCCCCCCCACCCCCAAAAAAAATAAAAAATCAGATAATCAGGTTTTAACATGAGATCTGTTTCTGCAGACTCTTTAAAATATTTCTGATGGGATAAAAAAAAAGAAAAAGTGGTGATAAATGAAACATTGGGTCTAAATTTAAAACAACCTTTATGAAAAAAATAAAACAAATATTAGCAGCAGATGTTGAACGCAGCGAGCCTCACCTGATCTACAGGTTTGTCTGAATGGGATTATTTGATCTATCAGATTAAATGGGATTATAAAGCTAATCTGCCGGCAGATGTTTGGGTCCATCTTTCTAAGCAGAGGCTTCCTGGCTGCAGCCAATCAGAGGCAGCTCTTCTGTTCTCACCTGGGTTCTGACTACAGGTGCAGGATCGGTGGCTGATGGTTGGACTTCTGTAGAGGTTGATGAAGCATCGACGGCCGATAAATGTCTGAATATCTCGCCGTACGATGATCTATCAGCCGGCCGACCAATCGGTGCATCGCTAGTTCTGACATTTAGGAGCCGCTGACGGTGAAACGCCATTGTTCATCGTGGATTCGCTGATCCGCCATTTGAAACATTTATGTTTTAATAATAAAAACCAAATAAGAGAATCTTTTTCTAAAATCCTTCAGATAAACATCCTTTCCTCATCTCTCCATCCTAAACGGTTCT